ATCGGGCTTTTCCTATACGTGATTTGATTTCCTGTGTGTAATCGTTGTTTTCGGTTATGATTGTTCCCAAGTATGTATATCTGTTCACCTTTTGAACGAGTTCGTCCCTAATCCATAACGTGTCCTGTTGTTGTGTCTTTGCGATGGTCATGAATTTCGTCTTTTTGATATTTAAAGTAAGTCCAGCCTCTTCGCTACTGTCTACAATCTTATTTATCAGAACCTGCAATTCTTCAACTGACTCTGCGATTACTAAAGTATCATCGGCGTATCTGATGTTATTTATAAGTTCTCCGTTGACTTTAATTCCACTTGATGTTTCCTTTAGTGCCTTCTGAACTACCTCTTCTGAATAGAGGTTAAAAAGCAGCGGAGACAATATGCATCCCTGCCTTACCCCTCGTTGTATTTCTATTTCCTCTGATAGTTCGTTGCCAACCTTTACAGATGCAACTTGATTAAAGTAAAGGTTTGATATTGATATCGATGCACATCGATGCGCATCGATGAACAAAAATTTGGATGCGAATTGGGTTTATCTTGGAAGTCATAGTATCATAGGTTCTACCCACTGTATACGACGTCGAATTTACTGTTTACAAACAGCTCTCGTTATTATTGACAGTGTTGCCTAAATAAATGATTGCTTTGCAAAATCATTAGTCTCATTTATTAAGTTCCAAGGCAATTTATATAATATACGTCCGATATTTTGGCCGTCAATAATAAGTTGAACATTTATTGTTATTTGGTTTCTTGATAAAGATTAGAAACTTGGTTTTATTGAGGTTCATATTAACGAGTCTGTTGCCATTTTGCATGCGCCTACAGGACTGTATCTGCGTCTGCCTTGTGGACTATCACGGGTTGTGTCTCCCTGCATGTGTGGGTAGTAGAAAGGAGACATCTCTGAGAGAAAAGAGCATTTGACTACAGCCATAAGAAAATAAGAAAGGCAAAGACAAATAAAAAGATGTCAGGAAGAATGGGACAAGACGGAAGATGTTGACCAGTGGACTAAGATGCTGAGCCTAAGGGACTGGGTAGACTGTGATCACCGGCGACTAGATTACTTCCTGGCATAAGTGCTCACAGGATATAGTGTCGTAGAACCTATCTTCATAGGTTCGGAAAGGTAGATACAAGCAAATGCCCATACTGCGAATAGTCTGACACTGTTACTCAAACAATGCTGGAGTGTAATAGATAGATAGTGGAGAGAAGCAGAATGCATGCAACCCTCTGACTTTGACAGAGATGATCGCGAAGATGACAGACAGTAAGGAGGAATTGAATAGTGTGCAAAATTACATCCGTGCAGTCGTTACGAAGAAAGAAGAAGAAGAGAAACAGCAACCAGACCAACGACAGAGATACGATCTAGATAAGAGAAGGGAGTGCCACAAAGTGTCATCAGCCTTACAGCGACCATCCGCTTTCGGAGTACGGAGAATGGAGAAATAACGCACCCCTTGCCGTACCCCTCTTTTAATTTTGATATTCCCTGATTGTTTGTTATCTATTTTTATGTGCGCTGTCTGGTTACGTTACAAGTTTTCTATTATTCTTATATATCACTTGTCTGCTTTTGTTTCAAAATGTCACGAGTTGGTAGCATCTTACTATGTCAAACGCCTTTTCATAATTTATGAAGCAGACATTTTTATTCACGTCCAAACAGCGTTTCGTTAATACGTTTATTCTGAATAAAGCCTCTCTAGTTCGCACTCCATTGCTAAATCCGAACTGCGTGTTACTTAGGCTAGGATCTAATTTTTTGTAAATACGGTTATGTATAATTAAAAAAATTTAAGTCTATGGCACATTAAACTTCAAGTCAGCTTCAAGTCAGCATAAAAATTTTACCCTTTTGCGTTAAAGTGGAATTAATTATTTTTAGGACTCTGAACGCTTGCTCACAAACATCATAAAGATAAAAACTTTGGCAGCAAAACAGAATACTTCGACCATATAATTATGGGACCCAAATACCATTTATTTCGCCTTATAATACAAGGAAAAGTGGAAGGAAAGAGATGGATTGGTCGAAAGAAACTTTCATGACTGCGTACTATTAGACAATGGTGTGGTACCACAGTAGAAGAATTATTTCGAGCAGCAGCCGATAAAGAATAGTTTCAGGAAATTGTAAACATGGTGATGACCAACGCCTGAATACGGACACAGCACTTAAAGTCTCACTGATGGTGAGGCGAAATTAAATTATCTGCGTTTATCAAATGCATTATATTTTTTATTTTTCAGTTAAGTTTCTTCTTCTTATGGTGCCCTATCCAATTAGTGGGTGTTGGCGACAATTCTGGAATACTCCTCTCGATCTTGTGTGACTCTAAAAAGTGCATGGGCATCGAGATTTGTCCAATCCCTTATGTTTTTAAGCCATGAGTATTTCTTTCGATGCCTTGTTTTCCTTCTATCTTCCCTTCCATAATAAGCTTTAAGAACTGGTACTTTAAATTTCGAAATATATGACCCAGATAAGCAGCTTTTCTTCTTTTTATTATTGGCAGCAATTCTCGTTCTCTGCCCATTCTATTTAATACTTCGACATTTGTTGTGTGATCTGTGTAGGGAATTTTAAGTAGTCTTCTAAATACTCACATTTCAAAGGCCTCTAATCGGTTCATCACATTGGCCTTTATGGTCCAGGTTTCTACACCTACACCATATAGCAGTATGGAGTAAATGTAACATTTTACAAAGCGATATCGAAGCATTAAGTTGAGGCTGTTGTTGCTTAGCAAGGTTCTCATATTAGTAAATGCTGTTCTGGCTTGCTCAATCCTGCTACGTATCTCTATGTCTGGATCTAGATCTTCAGTTATCCAACTACCGAGATATCTGAACTTGGGGACCTTTTGGATGTTCTTGTTTTTTACTCTTATATTCAATTGCATATTTCGTGTTCTACTCAGCACCATTACCTTCGTCTTGTCTATATTAATCTTCAAGCCCACTCGTTCTCCTTCAGTGTTTATTCTATCTATTAGTCGTTGTAGCGCTTCTTGGCTATCAGCTATTATGACTGTATCATCAGCATAGCGAAGATTACTAAGTCTGTCCGTTGATTTTGATTCCATCTTCAGTGTCACTTAAGGCTCTATCGAAAATCGTTTCAACATTACCCTGTCGTACACCTTTTTCGATTGAGAAACATGATGTAGATTCCAGTCCTAGTCTCACAGATGCCACTTGATTCATATAAAGGTTCTTTATGATTTTAAGGTCATTCTCATCTATCGAACGTTCCTGGAGCAATCTTATTAATTCTGAATGATTAACACAATCGAATGCTTTCTGGTAATCTATAAAGCATAGGAAGACATCTTTTTGCTGATCTCTGTATTTCTGAAGTAGGACAGTTAAGCTATAAAGTGCTTCTCTTGTGCCAAATCCTTGTCTGAAACCGAACTGTGTGGGGCTAATGTCTCTTTCACATCTGTTAATTATTCTTGTGTGAATTATCTTTAAAGAAGAGTTTTAGGACTTGACTCAATAAGCTGATCATTCGGAATTGGTCGCAGCTATTAGCGTTTGACTTTTTTGGGATTGGTATAAAGGTTTATTGAAGCCATTGTGGTATTTGACCGGACCCATGAATGTCATTAAAAAGATCTACCAAGGTGTCTAAATTGTCTTGACTCAACATTGTTAGAACCTCTATGTATATGTCGTCTGGGCCTGGTGCTTTTCCCCATTTGCTCATTTTGATTGCCCTTACAACTTCTGACTTCAATATTTTGGGGGAGGTTCACTTTTATACTCACTTTCAGAGTTTCTTCTAGTTGTGTCTGCGTATAGTTGCTGTGTGTAGTTTCTCCAATGTTGAAGTAGATCTTTGGGATCAGTAATTAATTTATTGTCCTTCACAATACTGTTAAAACTGTAAGGTTTTGTAAGACCTGTCACTTCTTTAATAAGTTTTTGTATGTTAAAGTGGTCATGTTTTCCTTCCAATTCCACCATTTCTGCACACCTGTCTAGCAGCCATTGTTCTTTAGCTTTACGACACTGTTTTTGTATTTATCGGTTGATCTGCTAATGTTTGGTTCGGTCTTTAAATGATCTGCGGTCGTCCATCATTGATAATATTTCGTCAGTCATCCAATTCTTCTTTTTGTACTTTTGGGAAGCGATCAGAGACTTGGTGGTGGTTACGATAGCTGTTTTAATAAAATTTCATTTGTCTTCTATACTGGCCGGTTGTTTAGATCTTGTGATATCCGCTATTACCTCATTTAATCTTTATGTGAGTTTAAGTTTAACGTTAGATTGTTTTAAGCTGGTTATATTAATTTGCTTTATGGATTTTCTTTTAATTTTCTTAAGCTTAATTTTCAATTTTCCTACTACGGGTTTGTGATCAGATCCGATATTTGTTCCAGGGTACGTTAATACTCCTTGCAATCCATTTCTGTATCTCTGATTATTCAATAAAAAATAAATTTGATTTCTTACGATGTTTCATGCGTATGTTGTAGAGACTGCCAGGTGTAGAGTCTCTGAGGTGGCAGTTTGTACCAGGTATTCGCAATGACTAATTTTTCTTCTTGACAAAACTGGATTAGCAGATCACCTCTCTCGTTTCGATCTCCCAAACCAAAGTCACCCACGACATCTTCAACACGTCCTCGCCCTACCTTCGCATTGAAAGTTAAGTTTAATCTGCGGTAAAAATGCTCTTAATATGTTGCTATTATTCGCCAAGGCTAGAAACGACTTTCAAAATTTTGCCCATCTGGGCCGAGAGCAGACAGAGAAAGCATTCGGTGAGAATGGATGAACGCCGGGACTCGCTTTCCTGATTTTTAGACGTACTTTACAGCTCGAGCTTACTTCTATTCCTAAGATAATTTCCAGTAATTTTACCACGAATTAAGTGGGCGGACAAATTGTAAGATTTTTGAAGTCATTCCTAGTTTTTTTTCAAACTGTGATCATTACCATTCAACATATAGGGAATATTCAAACTAAAAATTATCAGTAGTAAAATAATTTATTAGAATTATATATTATACACCTAGTACAAATACTAACTAAGTACAAAACCTATTTTTAAACTAAAATATACAAAATAACTGCGATGTGCTACACAAATATTGCACATACTGAAAACCAAAGCAACTTTTGTTAAAGTTTTCTGCTGTAGGAAAACAATCAATTTTCAGTTGGTGTCTTCTTTCAGTTTTTCAAAATCTTTCAGTTTTTTTAATATTCTGTTAAACTTGGATACCTAGAAACTATAACTAACTACAGAAATAAGTTTATTATAGAAACTTATGAAATTGGAATAAGTATTATGGAATACAGGGTATTACAGGAAGAGTTAACTTGTTTTTTGGAAAGATTCACCTTGAAGTTTAGTTTAAGACGTGAAAAAAGAGAAATTCCACTTCCAAATTAAAAAATTCTGCTAAAAAAGAGGTACCTTTACTGGCGGATTTAAAAGAGGGTTCTATCGATTGAAGAATGCGTCCTTAGGAGTGAGAACATTAGGAAAACACCAATATTGCGAGAAATAGAACAAAACCATTTGTACATATATGACCTGTCAAAATAAGTATTATAGTTAATCTAAATGAAGCCGCATAAATACCAGCTTTATCTCAGTGTAGGGAAAGAAACAGATCGCGTGGCCTGAATCCCAGATCTGCTTAAAAACTTAGGTATCGAAATCAGTAACCTTGGTGTTTGTAAAAGAACCTCTAATGCACAATAGGACCGGAACCGAAAGCGTGGGAAATTAAATGTTAACGGATAAAAGTAGTAGTAGAGGAAACATTTGTTCAGGAATGCTGCAGGTATTAACAAAATAGCTCGTGGAAACCGGTCCAATATTACACTGTAAGATAAATCGACGATTGATGAGGAAGTTTTCACCAATGTGGGAGCGTACAAACCGGCTAAGTGGCCGAAAAAACAGGACATTCCCTCTTAAGGAAAGTTTAATTAGCATTCTCCCAGCTGTAGGCTTCGCTGGAAATAGCCATCCAGTCTTCTACTGGGACAAAAATGAATGAAGAACAAACAAGCAAATCAAACAAGTAAAAGGAATAATGCAGGAACAAAACATGAACCTGCATCCTATTACTGGCCCTAACTGAAGATGAAGAGAAATTCCTAAAAAGTAGTCTAGAAAACCGCGATGAAGTACTTACTCGGCTTGAACTGAAAAAGATTCAGCTAGTGAAAAAGAATGGAGCAGCTAAGATAAGTTTGAGCAAGGTATCGATCCTAAAGAGATTAAAGCTCATCAGATACCCGCAAAAATAGAAGTAGGGTATACCCAAAAGATGTTTAATGTCAATGTGGAAAGATGTTTGATGCCAAATAACTCATTTGAAATTGACAATCTACATATCACAGGATAAATTTAATAACATAAAATACTATCGGAAAACAGCTTTAAAACAATACCCAAAAAGATCTGCCAAAGTAATAAAAAATAGTGTTCTCTAGGTCGTATGTATTTTACTTTGGCGTAGGTCCCTCACCTGTCTATATCTGTGATATATCAATAAGTGTACCAGCTATACGAGACCCAATGTTTCGATATTTATAACCGAAAGACAACTTTTGCAATACTTGGATTTACACAGACTTACACTCACCTATGAGCTAACAAGGTCGTAAAAAACTATTTATCACAAAAATTTCAAAAAACCTTTGTATAAAACTCAATATATTAAGGAATACATTTTATTTTATTTGCATACAGTTATTATAAAGGAACATTTGCTAGAAAAAGTAAGAAAAATTCTAGTGTGATTCATAGATCATAAAAGATGTTTGGTAAGATTCAACATAACAAGCAAATAAATACCAAAAAAACAACCTTTGATAAGCCTGAATACTTGTTAAACGCCTAACAAATTGGTAATACCATTTAATATAAAATTAACCTGATCTTATACAAAAAAAAATTAGAGGAATAAATTTGAAAAGAACCAATTCTAAAATGTCGAAATAATGAGAAGTCACAATGACTATGAATATAAGACAAATGCAATATATAGGACCTATAAGTGATGAATTCTACAGTATTCTGCACCTCAAGAGAAGAAGTAAACGGTGAAAGATTGGATATTACTGAGATTTTATGGAGTGAACTTTGCAAAATGAAAACAAAGGGTAGATTGGGAAAAAGAAACTATGAGTAAAGCTAAAATAATTTTAATGCAATAAATACCTTCCACAAATACACTGGATACCTGCAACCTTCTTTAAGCCAACATTATTTAAACGCAGAAGCATATTTGTGACTATACTTAACTTCACTAAAAATTTTTAGATATTAAGACATATTCATATTTTATTCAAACGAAATATGTAACATACTAACACTAACACATTTTTACACAACACATCAAGAAATCTTTTGTGTTCCGGTTTAATACAAAATGTTTTACATAAGACTCCACGCCACGCACATTTATACAAGGAATATAAAAATTACAATCACTCCATAAAAAAACAATAATTTGTAGTAGTAGTACAAAAATTTCTACTAGCCCATGTTGTGAGACTACTCTCGTAGGAAAAATGTTTCTGGTTCAGTTAAATTATTTCAACAACAATTTCTACCCAAAAGGGAGCGGTTTCACACCATGGACTATATCGGATAGACGAACAGATAAGTTAGAAAACAAAATACACAATAATAAAAACAGTATAAAAGTTTTTACACACATAAAGAATATTCCAGAAAATAAAATTAATGTGTATAAAATTACTTTGTATTCTGAAAAAATTCAGTAGGTTTATCGACCACTTGACCTAAGTGACCAACGAGAAGGTCACTTGATCGATAAACCCGGTCCATTAGAAAGAGATGCAGGGACTGCTTTTCGTCAGTTTTCTCTCTCGCACTGGAGGAACAGTGCGGGCCCGTATTGCAACAGTCAGTATACTTGTATTATATGTCTATGGCTTCAAAGGGTTAAACTTGTAACCCCAAAATGATCACTGGGTCGAAACAGTTCAGTATTATTATAATTTGATACTCATGTTCCCTCCTAGAAGAAAAATGAAGTACAGTAAGGCATAACCAAATGACGGAAAGCAGCAAAAGCAAAAAATTGATAAAAAAAATCAATGGATGATACGTGAACCAAGATATCATCTTATCGGCAACTAATTATAAAAAATTAGAAAAATTAGGTTACAATCTAAAACAACAATGAAGAGATAAGCTTAAAACAAAGAAAGAGAAATTATTAGGCAGATGTGAAAGATGATGGATAAATTCGGTTAGATATAATCATGATAAATAAATAGTACACTGGGAACAAAAATGACTGTAATCAAGAAAAAAAATGGGGAGGCACCGTTCTTAACTCGCCAACCAACAGACATGTGTTTGAGACAGACTGAAAATCGAGACAATATGAAAACAAAATGAAAGGGAGACCTAAATTCCAAAATTTATAAACATATATATATATATATATATATATATATATATATATATATATATATAGGGTGCGGCAAATAAACTGCCAATTAGGAATATCTCGAGAACTAAAGGTGAGTGAATCATGAAAATTGGAAATGAAGTGGTTTTCAATAGTGAACTGTCTATTGAAAATATTTTCATCCATTTGCTACTTCCGGTTATACCGGAAGCTGCTTTATAACTTCGTTTTTTTTTAATGGCACATATTGTATACTTTTTAATTTTTGAAATATTCACGTTATTTATTATTTTGAACATTTTTTGTTTAATAGTTATAATGGTTTTTATATGAAAATTACGCTTTTCAACCAATTATATAAAGTCCAATATCCTCTAATGTAATTTTAAAAAAGGTTTCAATTCCTTAGGAACTTATTAACCATGTACAGCTGATCGTTTACAGTGTAAATTTACCTTTTTTATTATAAGGGATGCTGTCAAAATTGGCATAAACTGGCATCCTAAATTTTCGACTAATTCCTTTTTCAAATTGGACACCATGTATGTGATTCATTATTTTAAAAGAATGCGTTTCTCACTAGCGATCTGTATTAGTATTCTCTATACTTATCTCTTGCAGTTTTCAAAAAATAACTTTATACATTTTTGTCACAATTTTTTTTAACTATATTGTTAATTTACAAGTTTCATATTGTAAGTTAAATATTGAACAATTAAAAAAGTGCTATCAAAGACAATACGCACTAGATTATGAATGTAATAAATGTTCAAAATGTTGTCAACTTCCAAATATTTATGAACTTTTTTAACCAAGCTTTCATTTTAAAACTCTTAATATTGACTCTCCATCTATGTATTTCATTAAAAACTTAAAGGACTTTATTTATCATATCTTCCTTAGTAGTGGCAGATCAGAGAATACCTTATTTTTAACATATCCCCAAATATAGTAATCTAACGGTGACAATTGTCAAACAATTTTTCTGTCACAACGAAAATTGCCAAACTCAAACGGAGCTTCGCAGGTCACACTGCTAGACAAAAAGACTAACGTTGGAACGCCACAATAATTGGAGACCTTACAAAAGTAGACGACCAAGAAGAAGACCACATATGAAATGGGTGGACGACATCAAAAGAATAGCCGGAACTATGGAATGGAAGTATGTTGCTTTTACAGTTTGGTTAAGGTTTCTCAGGATATCTCTCAGCAAAAACAGGGCAAGTTCTGGATACTATTCTGTTACACTCACTGTAAATTATAATTAAATTTAAAAAATCACTATTTGTATAATGAGCCATTATCATTTTGTCAATAAAATTGGGCAAATTATTATTATAACCGTCACCCAACGGCATACAGCAAGGTTAATATTAAACATTAACAATAACTGACATTTTTCAGAATATTCCATAGACTACTTGATAAATAAGTTTGAAAATAAATAAATTTCATTATAATGAAAATATTTTCGTTAAACAGTTCACTCTTCAAAACCCCTTCACTCCAATTTTGATGATTCAGTTACCTTTAGTTCTCTGTATATGTCTGTATGTTCGACTATGGATATATAAGTGTAATTCCAATTGTTCCATTGGCATCTCTCAGAACTCTAGCATTAATTGCTTTATACATTCCCTCTTTCCATGTTTTCTTAGGTCCTCCTCGCTTGCAGACGACGGTCTAGACTTCAGAAACAATATATCATTGTATTATTTGAATTGTGTCTTCATAAATGGTAATATAAAAGCGCCTTCTGATTATGTCTTTTTGACAAGATTTTAGAATAGCGATTCTAGTAAATATATAGTAAATACAATGGATTCAAAAAATTTTATGATACTGTATTTATTATAATTTAATTAAAGTATCAAAACACACTAAAGAAGGAATAATAATCTTCAGCAGAAAGACTAACTATTTCTATGTAATATAATTTGTAAAATTTACATGAAAATAATAACTTACACTTTTTATTTAGCCAGAAAATGTTTGAATGTCTTAATCAATACATTTATTTAATTTACACTTTTTAATATTTAATATTAATAAACTTTCTAATAGTTAAGAATGTCTTTTTGACTTCTGGAAAAAAATGTGAATATTAGTTAATAAAAATTATTACATACTGATGGTATTTGTTAGGACCTATTACTTGTATAATTTACAGCTTAACAAAAACAGTCAAGGATCTTATAACTAATGTAGGCCGAAAAATAAAAATTTATATGTAATCTCAATAATGTGTACCAGTGTGGAAAGCATCTACATATCTTTACAAAAAATTTCTGTTACCACCGAATATAGAAACAATGTAGACTTTCTTATATACATTAATTATAATCTTATTTATAACTAGACACAAAAAGCAATTAATAGCAAGCAGTAGTAAATGTTCAGATCTTCAAAAAATCCGTAACATAACAGATCCTTTCAAGAGATTATTCATTTTTAAGTTATAGTTCATATATCTGCGAATTTGTATAAAAGTATATCAATGACACCTTTTTTCTGTCACCAGAGAACCACTGCATTATGTTTTATTATTCTGAGAAAGATTATAGAATAACGCTATGAAAATTGACAGCGCAGCGTTCTTCATACATTCTTATAAAAATACATCAAAAAATAGTACAAAAAATTACGAAAGGATATTTTAAAAATATCTATTTGCATAATAGATAATAGATTTAAGGATTGTATGGAGATATTGGGTATAAGGATTTATTGAGGAATTTGGAAAATGTCTAGGATAGTATGTCAAATATCACCATAAAAAAATAAATAGGTTTCTAAAGGATTTTGTCCTAAAATCAAAGTAAAACGATTACATGTAATAGCTGACACGATTTTTTTACAAATGACATAATATATATTTTTAATATTTCTATATATCTATGTGAAAGTATTTACTTGGTGGTTTCTTTCCGTTACAAGATAACCAATCCTAAAAGTAAGTTATCTACCATCATTTTGAAAAAATGGTAAATAATACTGTGAACATATCACAAATTAAACAACATTAAAGGATGTTGAAAGATATAAACACATGTTTTTGAATCCGCTTTTTAATAGATTTAAATAACTCTGACCCTCTCAAGATACTTAAGGCCAGCTTCCTCCCAATCATTTTCAAAAAATCAAAACTGTTTCTTTTAAAAATTGCTCGAAAATACTCTAGAAATAGTATATAGTCCCGAAAGCCCGCGTGACCTTGAAGTAGGTAAATATTGCTATTTAAAATTACATTGCTATTTAAACAAGTTATAAACAAATGAAGTGCAAAAAGGTTCGAAAAAATTTTAAAATAACCGCCATTGTTTTTTTTCCGAAAAAATGTTTCATTGTAGTACCGACAGATAGAACAGAATACGATATCATTTTGTTTTTTGTTTTCGGATGATTCGTTTATAAGAAATGATCACATTCATGGATGAACACTCATCAACAAATTGGACGAGTAAGGGCAGCCATTTTGAGAGCCGCCGTTTTGAAAAAAGAAACAAGTTGTTTAATGTGTGTATTTTCACCTGTAAAAAGTTTTATTTTCAAATATCTTTTTCAAAAATAAAATTTACTTTAAAAAAAACCGTTTTTGGGAGGAACCTTGCCTTCAGTCAGCCATCCACTACGGCCTAGACTGATAAGCATATTTTGAAACGATAACGGGTCACACAAGAACACTTTCCTCGCCAGAGTGTTTTTCACTCCAAATAATATTGGTATAGCTTACGCTTTTAATTACAGACCTCCCTCCATTGCATATATGGATGAAGAAGGAGACGAAATTAGGAGCATATAGAAAGCGAGTAAGATGTCAGGAAGCTAGGTGAAAAATACCGGGATCAAATCTGGAGAGAAAATAAAAAATTATTCAGAGTTGGAAATGGTATGAGATGCAAAGCAAATTAAATATAATTTCGAAATGCCGTTTACTGTCACCTTTTCAGTAAGAGACGAATGGAAGTCGAATAAAACGCATTTCATAATGGAAGATCAATGCTGGTATACAGACAACTCTAAATCCGATGAAGGAGTTGGAGCTAAGAGAATACGGAAGGAAGGAAACCATGGCTAAGCCTTAATGGATACCTAGGTAATCAGTGCACTATCTTCGATGTGCCTGCAGGAACTAATAAAGAGAAATTGCACGGACAGATCTACAAAAATTATATCGGATAGCCACGAGGCATTACAGGTATTGGAATCAAATCGACTCCAAGTTAGTTAGGAACTGTGTGATACGAATCGGAAAAGTAGAAAAGAAGTTAACTTTGGGTACCTGGACATACTGATATTGAAGGGAACGAAAAAACGGACATATTTGCCAGGGAAGAGACAAAAGAAACATTCAGAGGTCTAGAACCTTTCATTGGCATAGCAAGAGGCATAGCCAAAAGAACGATATCGTACTGGGTGGAATGGATGAAACGTAACCACTGGTACGAACAAATGGATCCTAAAGCCAGGTACCTACCTGTAAAAAATTTTGCAAAAAATTTTTCGATTTTTTTTTACAAAAATTGCTCGAAATACTCTTGGAAATAGTATAGAATTAAAATGGAAATAGAAAGAAGAGGGGAGAGCAGTGCGCGCGAAGTGATTAATTCTCAAGGATGACGGTAGCTGCTTACTTTAATTGGCGTTTCTCAAAACTACCTTTACTCTTTAGATGTTTCTCTTTGGTCGTTACTACAACCAAAAATATTCACTGTTATTTAAAAAAGTTATGAACAATTAAAAGTGCAGAAAAGTGTCGAAAAATTCAATAGTCCGCCATTTTAATTTTTTTCAGTAAAAATGTTTCATTGTAGTACCGTCCATAGCCAATACGATACCGAATATGAAACCATTTTGTTTTTTTGCTTTCGAATAATTCGTTTCCAAGAAATAACGACACTCGCCAACAAATTGGTCGGGTTTAATTAGTTTAATGTATGTACTTTCACCAGTAAAAAATTTGATTTTGAAATATTTTTTGTACTATAAATAAAATTTAAAAATCACACGTTTTTTTGGAGGAACCTGGCCTTAAACATACGAAGGCCATTTATAGATAAACCTTCGACAAAGAGATCCAAAGATCTACTAGATATTAATAGGAATGATCTGTGAACCATCGTAGGTTTCCTAACAGAATACTGTCGCGTCAAGGGGCACATAAAGAAAATTGGAGCAACAGAAAGTGCGGATTGCAGATTTTGTCAGGCTGAAGACGAGACAGCAGAACACATTCTGTACAACTGTCTAGGGTTTGATAGGATAAGACTCAATGCATTTGAGCACTCTTAAGTCGAACCTTACAACTTCGTGCAAAGGCCATAAAAGCTTTGTTAAAACGGCTAGCCTGAAAGGACAAAGGATAGCTTTAATTTAGGGATGAGCCACAATAGACCTCGAGTGGAAGGACAGCGCCGACTATTGAATCTAACCGAACCTATGCTTTATAAAATGGTAACAGTGTGTATGAAAATCCGTTTTTAACGAAAAAAATTATATTTAATTCGAAACATTTGTAAAATAGTTAATTTCCATAATTTTTTAATTGAGTTGTTACTTGTATTGCTGGTGAGACATTCTTGGTTAACAATTCTTGTACGATACTATTTTATTAAAAAAAATACACAAAAGCTGTATTACTTAATACTAAACAGTGTATTACTACAAGATATTGTTGTTAAGCTGTTTTTAAAAGTATAATAAAATAACAATAAGTCTGTTGTTTAATCAAAATATTCAAGTATACTGTCACATTAACATAGGGTTCCATGGTGGCAGTAAGATGATAATTAAAATAGTATGACTTTGATCAAATTTTTCCTTTTTCCTGAATCCTCGATTCTCTATGTACAGCAATGAAACCTAACAGCAGTCTTAAATTATCCGAGCTATGATAACATTATTATTTCTTATACCAAATTACCACATGTTGTAATCAGAATCATCTTGGTCGAAAGTTAGGAAAAATCCTAGTAATGTCATGTATACCACAACATTTCCTGCAATTGTCAAGTAGCACGCTCCCGCAGCTATCACTGCAGCACGTGAAAGAACAATTGGTAGGGCGAATGAACTAACTAATATACCCATTGTAACAAATATAGATGCTTCCAAACAACCATTACTAGAACCAGAGCCATCGTTGTATCGTTTTGCAACTAAAGTAGGTATCGGCGCTAGAATGTAGAATATTACCTCGAAAAATGGCCACCATAATCTATAACAGAAATAAAGATGTATTAAATTTGAGCTAAAATATAACCAATTTGACTACACACTACAAGTAAATTTAAATAATTACTCTAATTACATCACTCGCACCGTTAGAAAAAATCTAACATTTTTAAATATTTCGCCATAATTTTCGAAATATTACTTCTTCTAGGTTTTGAAACCAGGAATACTCCTATGAAAACTCGTATAAGACTAGGTTAAATAATGGTGGGAGTACCTACTATCTTATAGCCGACAGCAGTGGTTGTTAGTTCAAATCTAACACGCGAGTGTTGACGTTTGTCGATTTTTAGAGAGATCACTTAACAAAAGTTATAATATTATCATAAAAGGCAAGATTTTTGGTGAAATAGCTATATATTGTTGAAGATCCGTTATTATATCATTTATAGGACTTTTGTTCCTTGCTGGGGTAAAGAGAGCGCAACATTTAAATACTGATGAACTCTGGAAATTAGATGGCACAGCTCCAGATATTTTTGCAGCTACTATGTCCAAGCAAAGATTTCACCAAATAATTAAAGCTGTAAGATTTGACGACGCCATTAAGAGGCAAGAAAATTCGGCAGTTGATAATCTTGCACCCATTCGAGAAATATATGAAATGTTTGTCATTAACCGTTTATCTGCATACACTCCTGGATTCTATGTGACCATAGATGAAATGTTGGAAGCGTTCCGTGGTCAATGCAAATTTAGGCAGTATATAACCTATAAATACGGAATCAAGATTTGTGCTTTGGTGGACGCTAGAACATTTTTCACACAAAATCTCGAAATTTACTCCGGCAAACAATCTGAAGGACCATATCAACTACCCAACGATGCATTTAGTGTAGTAAAAAGACTTATATGACCCATAAGTGGCACCGGTCGAAATGTAACTATGGATAATTACTTTTCCTCTGTACCCTTAGCCAACTATTTATTGAACGATCATTGCTTGACAACGATAGGTACTTTGCGTAAAAACAAACAACAAATTCCCCCTGAGTTGACAAACGGAAAAGGAAGAAGTTTAGGTAGTAGCATGTTTGCATATGGTGACGGTGGAAACAAGTGTGTACTTGTATCATATGTGCAAAGAAAAATTAAAATGTACTACTACTTTCAACATTGCACAGCGATGGTTTGATTGATGAAAAGACCAAAGAGCATACCATAAAGCCAGAGATTATTATTGATTACAACCTCACAAAAGGCGGAGTGGGTGTTGTTGATAAAATGAAGGCAGAATACTCGGTGACTCGATTTAGCAATTGCTGGCCGTTTAGTGTTTTTTGCAGCTTACTAAATATTTCAACTATAAACAGCCCAATAATTTACAACAATAACACTAATATTGTAACATCTCGAAGAAGCTACATTGCGGAGCTTGGCAAGCAACTTCAACGACGTTCCAATATCCCAAATCTGCCTTTTCAGTTGAGATTCAGGGTCCGAAATATAACCGGAGAAAAGCCATCAGTTTCTCAAGGGGCAACTCGAACTATAAAACCAAGACGTTCTTTTTGCCCTGTAAGGAAGAACAGGTTTACCCAACATTATTGTACTAACTGTAAATTGCCGATATGTAAAGAGCACACTGGTTTAACATATTTTACTTGCTAGCACTGCCTAGAAGAGGAAGAAATCTAATTTTATGCGTAATGCGTACATTTTTTTGAAATAAATCCCCTTATTTGTTTTATTCTAGGGTAATGTGTATATTTTTTAGTTTACCTAGTAGTTTTTTTGCAGTTTTGTTTTAAAAAAAATATAGTTTTTATCGTTTTTTGTGAGTTAATAGCCAATAAACTTAACTAATAAGTACTAATGACTCATTTATTTGACCTATACCCATATGTTAGATAAAATCTAACACGCGAGTGATGGCGTAATTTTTTGTGGTGCGAGTGATGGAGGGTTAAATACATTTAAAAAATCCAAAACAATAAAACACTATCAGATTTTGTTCTATGTATATAAGTAAAACTGTGAGGCACAGATATAGAGAATAAAATGTAAATGAAACTTAAAGGTACTGTAGAAATTTCTTTTATCCTGTATATCTTAAAAATCTATACAGTTCCTAATAAATACTTAACATACTGCGTTTTAAATTTTTAAACGAGAAAAGCATACTTTAAGCGTGTCTTGGAATGGAATATACCCCGATGCTTATTTCATTCAGCCCAAATGCGTTTATCAAGATTTTGAATTAAGATTGGCGTGAGAAACGCCCGCTAACTGGAACATGGAACATCTTAGTCCGTGGGGGAATTTTTGAGACTGAAATTGCGATAAAGTGTGAGAAATATTATTCATTACCGAGCTTTTAAGCAAACCGGTAATCTGGCATTCTTTCGCCAGGTACTGGGGCTTTGCGCCCTAGTATCAATAATTTCCAAGAGTTCGTTCACTGGACAGAGATGGGACTGGACACATAAGTTAGTTTGGTTCTTTATTGCTGAGAAACCTACCATGGTTTAGTTATTATTCGGAAATAGTGTTTCTTCTATTAAAAGAACCCGCAAGTCTACAGTGAAAGCAAGTATAGTGAAACAAAGAAATTTACAGCAAGTTTTTACTTTTTTTATACTGCTTCGACAGTTAATTATTAAGCAGAATATATATATTTAGTGGTCAATATGAAAAAGGAAACATATCTCATTATTTTACTGTACATGTATACTGCAATGCAGCGTTAGTGGTTTTAAAGGGGTACATCCCGTAATTTTTTGCATGGTTTGATCACTGTTGTTTTTTTTTTATACTATTTTATATAATAATGACCTAGATAAGTTTTAAAATTTCATTTTTTAAGTAAAATTCAATATTAAAATCATTTTAAATATTTTTAGTATGTCATCGAGAGAAATTTATATTGAAATTTTTTGTAGATGTAAGAAGGTAGCGAATTGTAATGGACATTTCTGTTTGTAAGATCTCAATTAATATATAAAATTAAATCTATGTATTTTTGATCTCTTCAGAAATTTTCTTTTGTCTTGAACCACATAAAAATAAATGCTAACAGGTTTGATGAGAAAATATACAAAATAGGTGTGATTGTTAATTGTTATTTGTTATATATGTATTTTGGTTTTAAAGAGTTTTTTTGTGGCGCCCACAAAAAGACAAAGTGTCACCCTTTGTCCATTTACTTTCAGTTAGTAGGATTCATTTTCTTTATTTTTTCTGGCTTCAGTATCCACAGATCCAAATAAGCGATCTGTAGACCCACATCCCAAAACTTGCTGTTGTGTCCTTCAAAACACCTGAGTGGTTGTAAAGTGAACATAATTAAACCTGGAATTCTTCATTTGTCTCATAGTTCCAATACGAAATTTCCCCTTAGGTTAATTTTTATATTACCCAACTTCTAGGCTTCTTGTCTTCCCACCCAGATCAATTTATTGTTACAATAGTATAGATGGAATAAAAATTCTTAACATATGTCAAGAAGATATTTCAAAAAACAAATAAAAAGGTCACTTTTCATAAAGAAAAAAGAAAGAATTTAATAAAGTTAATTAAATCCCAGTGTGAACTAGAAGAAAGTTGGAACCAAAATGGCTAGTGTTCTTTTTTCTTCTGAATTTCTTTTAAAACGACAATCAAAAGTCATTGATCCAACCACCGACCAGAAAGAAAGAGATGTGATTTCACAGGTTGGTTAATTTGAATATTCATGACAATAATAGAATAAAGGTCGATCCACCATGAATACGAAGATAGCACAAAAAATTTATTAATTATATGAAATTAGTGAATAATGTATGCTATTTTTTTTTAATCTTTTATGTCCATTTGATTCAGATCATTAACAAGATAAGCAATTTGCAAAATAAAGCATGTAGGCAACTTCATTATTAGAAGACTTCTTAAGCACATAAATATTCTGAATAATCAGAAGAGAAAAGCTCTTCCACAGCTCCGATAAGCGAACCTACATTATCATTTGCTATTGTCTTCGTATTTAATCTTCTTTATTTCTATCTGTATTTAAAACTTCATAATTTTCTGCGTTTTCAAACCAAGTTAGCTTTCAATCTCGAACTGATAAAATCTTCATCAATGGTGCTACCTATTGCCATACCTAATAGCCATAGTTTTCAAGTAACCTTAATATATCGATTTGTAATATTAAATAAATGATATACAAAGTTGTATATTATCAAAAGTTGGTTATGTTTTTGTGTTGTTCAGTTGTAGCATAAGATGAATACGATATATTTACATCTAGTGGTAAACTCATCTCAAAAACGAAAATTCTTGAGTTATCTAGTTGTAGTATTGCGGTAATGATAATTAAAACCTATATCTTATAAGATGAAAGTCAAAGCATATAACCAAAAGATCAAAGAGCCACTATGAAACAAGACCATGGGATTAACCCTAGTAACCCAGGTAACCCAGGTAACCATAGCTTCTTTTTATGAGTGAAGAAAACATGTCTCCAATCAGTAACAGATATTACATATTAACTTATTAACATTAACATTATATAACTTTTCATTGCCCTTTCATAATTGTCTACTAATGGCTGACAAACAAGAGATCCTGTTATTATATTAAAGTTTGTATTATCTCTAAATAATTTCAAAAAATATGATATTACAGTGTATTAATTTTATTCAAATATATATGAAACAAAGATAAAGCTTTTATCTCATTAAATATGAGTAAGCTGTCAATTTAACCTTAATTAACTTTAAAAATAAAGCTTTTGAAATAACTAAGTGCAAAAAATGATTGTAACATTATCAGAAATAACATAATCTGTTATATTACTATATTACTATACTATTACTATACTTGATAAAAAATGATGTCATCATGTCTCTCACTCAGCAATCTCAATTTATATTGTATAATTATAATTGCTGCTTTCCATGCATATATTTCAATAGTATCTTAATAGTACTTGTCCTGATTATGACTATACTTATTCTAATTCAACGACACACAACTTTAAATTATATATTTGTGAGGTGACCCTTACAAAATTCATTGAGACTGAAATAATTAGCTCTTCTAAAAGGGAGATCATAGATGTTTATATCTAGAATAATAACAGTGGTATTATGACCAACTGTCACAGATAAATGTGTCTGGCCTGAATTAAGAAAAAGAAGAGTAACATTGGTTTTGTTGGAATTGAACTTTAGGCCATACCTATCAATATCTCTTAAGAACTCCAGTTTTTGCTGATTTGTGGAGATAATTCATTAATATCTAGGAGGTACCATATGAGCCTTTTACTAATGGGTAACTCTTACTGCCTCATTAATTACTTTGAACAGATTTCTCAGATTGTAACTTTTATACCATTTTGTCTGTATAATAGTTGACCAGCAGAATTAATAATTTGCTAACCATTGCTGCTTTTGAGGTGTCTGGCAATTTACTCCAAAAACAGTGAATAATGAATTGACTATAGTTAGAGAAAAACAAATAAAAACTTACTTGTACTGAGGTAAAGCACATGCCAAAATCACAAATGTCATACCAATAGAACCAAGAAAGGCCAAGGTAACCAATCTGAAAAAAGATTTACTATATATCAAACTAGCATATAAATATAGTTAAATACTTACGCTGTTGTTGGTAGATGTGACAGGACCATACATAGAAAGAAAAATAATAAGTGAAACAATCAGTTTTTAGTTTTTTTTTTAATACTAATACAATAGTTATATTGAAATGAAAAGTGGGAAACATAAACATTGCAATAAATGTTTAAGCAAAAATTTAAAATAATAGTAAGCTCACCAGTACATTCTCAATAAAATACAATAAACAAGTACTACTTATTATGAATTATAAATTAATTATTGAATCAGTAAATTAAATTATTCTTTAGTTGTCAAATAAAAATATAACTACAAATCACCAGCATGCGATAATCGAGTGTTTTATAAATCAACCAGTGACACTATGATGTCTAGTAGGTAGTGCCTATATAGTTTAAAGAGAATATTACTTAAAACATTTATTGAAGAGTTTTATTATGTTCCCTAATATGGCTCTGAAATGTTTGCATTTATAACAAGATGCAAAATTATAAAATAAACTTCCTCTTCAAATCGCAATTTATCAAACAATTTCTTATTTTATTTTTTAAACTGACTTCCTCCTCAAAACTCAATTTTTTATTTGTCTATTGAATATACACAGCTTATTTTATAAATGTGTGTTATTCAGGACTAGAACTCACAACATAGAAGTTAAAATATTTAAATGTAATAATTCTCTAAAATTATCTACAAATATCAAAATCAGTTAAGGAAAATTTTACAATTTCCCATGTATCAAACCCAAACAAAAAGATGATTCACAACTCATGACAGTAAGCAAGGTTAATGAAAAATAGAATAATCAAGAAAAGTAGATTAAAATAAAATTATTTAAAAAAAACTGAATACTGTCAAACAATTTTACGGACCCAAATAAATTGGAGTGTCGATTTATATCTTTAATAATTAATTTAACAGAAACTTTAAAAAGAGCATATTTAAAAATATATCTATTAAGAAAACTTATAAGCGAACGGTAATTACCTACCTTTTATTCCTGCCATTTCAATCTCAAATATATACCGTTTTTCCTAAATACTTCGATTAAAAGAGGAAATAAATAATTAGAACATTATCTAGAAAAGAAATGTTTTCTTTTCACAATCGAATCAGACGACGTTTGAAGTTTAATTGTAAATTGACACTAATGACACTGACAGTTCGCGTACTAGGTTCTAAGCCATAGAGAATGGTTCTAAGCTGCAAAGTTCATTTTATCAAATTTTTAAACAATTAATTGAGAACATTATGAATAATATAATGAGGTACTGGTTATTTAGTAATTAATTTATTATAAATTATTTGAAAATAACACAAGTTCAACCATATAAATTCAGTCAACCCCATAGATGCCTAACTAGAATATCAGTTTAAGTTATTAAATCTCAAAACTTCAATGTACTTATAGAAGAAAATTTGACTTGACGTTTGGAGATTAGGTTATGCGAAAACAGAGATTTTGAATAGTGTTTTGACTTTGAGGAGAAATTCTTGATAATATAAAAACATATCTTTACAGTTCTGGTATTATTGATGAAAAAGACACCTGCAATATGTTTGCTCTTTCGAGGAGATCAATAGTTCCTTTGACACAAATTAGAACTAAGACGGACAAAGCCGTTTTGGACGAAATTATTCGAGTAGATCATGCTGGAGAATTGGGAGCAGATCGAATTTATGCAGGTCAGATGTTCATTCTAGGCAGCACTTCAAAAGCGCCTTTAATAAGACATATGTGGGAGCAAGAAAAACATCACAAAGCTACATTTGAAGATTTAATTAGAAAACGTCGTGTTAGGCCTACAGTAATGACCCCTATTTGGAACATTGCAGGTTTTGCCTTAGGTAACTTAACACTAGAGTATGCATTCACTTCTAAAGGTATACATTTTTAGGAGCAGGATCAGCATTGCTTGGAGATAAAGCAGCTATGGCATGTACAGTGGCTGTTGAAACAGTAATTGTAGATCATTATAATGACCAACTGAGAACTCTATTAGAAGATCCAGAGTGTGATAAAGAGCTTGTAGAAACTATTAAGAAATTTAGAGATGAGGAACAAGAGCATCATGATCACGGCATTGATCAGGGAGCAAAGCAGACTCCTTTTTATGAAGCATTTACTAATGTTATTAAAGCTGGATGTAAAGCAGCTATAGCTATTTCAAAAGTAGTTTAACTTATGTTTGTGTATATATTTAGTTGTTTGTGAAATATATGTTGTTAAATATTTAAAATATTGACAGTTTTATATATTTTTGGATACAAAGTTTTATTTCTGTCAATTATAGCAATATCATCCCAACAAAATGTTAATAACATGCTTACGCAAACAGTGAAACATTTTGACAAAAGGTAAAAAAACAAGTATTATAGGCAAGAACTTAAGTATACTTCATTTAATTTACTTACTGTTGCATGTCATCTGTGTCATTGTCCGTGAGATCAATTGATACCAACACGAAATATTTAGGCAGTAGGTGTGTTCTTTTTTAGAATCACTTTGCCGGCACACTGGCATTACAGCCACTAGACATATTTTATTATATACACATAGAAATAATATTTAAAGATTTCTATTAATGTTAACTTAAAGAAATACACAATAATATGTTTCATTTAATTTTTATAAATGCATTATAAAGCGTTTTTATGAAAAACATTTGTTCAGAGCACACTGTAACTGTAATAGAACGAAGGTGATATTTTGGCATAAATTGGTAACACTTATTTGACATTTGCGGTGTTGACACTTTTTGTACTTTATTATTTTGAATTTTAAAGTGAATACCTTTTCTTTTATATTTTTACCTATTTAATAAAATCTGTTCTTTCTAGAAAAAAATTAGTGTGTTTTATTTTAAAAATGTCAAGTAACGGTAAGTAAATTAGATGAAGTATATTTATGTACACTGGAAAATAACTTTATTTTGACCATTTCAGATTTGTTTGGTTTTTTCTAGCATGCTCTCCTGTAAGATGTAGATTTCCAACCAATACCCTCTTTATCATATGGCTGGATCATGAGGCCTCGCAAAGTCAAATATATTCACTTACAGGGCAAAAAGATATAATTTTTTTATATTGAAGTAGATGCCATCTACTTCAATGTAGAAGTTATTAAAAGAATAGGAAATTAAGCTGAAATAATATTTACTATTAAAAGAAAAAAACTTAGGCCATGTGATGAGAGGGCACATAATCATTATTGCAGCTTATTATGCAAGGCAAAATTTGAGGAAAGAGAAATATGGGAAGACGAAGAATATTGTGGCTTAAGAATTTGGCAGAATAGTTTGAATGCAGTAGTGCAGAGCTATTTAGAGCAGCAGTCAACAGGGTCCGCATAGCCATGATAAGGTGGAATTTAAAGAAGAAGAAGATGCCATCTAAAGATTAATTTCAACATTTTGTGACAAATTTAATGAAAATTTTGAAGAGCACACATTTTAATAAGAAGAAATATCTATTATTAAAACTGATTAACTGTGCTCATAAAATGGAAAGATAACATAAGAGCAGTGGCAGCGATTGGCACAAGAAAAGGAAAGGTGAAAGCAAATGGGTGAAACATACATTCAGGAGTGGATGGAAATTGTTGACGAAAAAGAAGAATAGCTGTGCTATTTAGGATTACCTATACAGCACTAATATTGCAGATTTGCTTAGTCACAAACTACAGTACCTACATATCGAGGATACATAATTTATGTTTTAAAGTGACATATCTACATATAAAATTAGAGTTTGGAGATTAAACTAAATGTAAGACCAAATATTTATGTTAGGTTCAATATGGATAGGCACTTAACTACCCTTCCACTTGAATAAAGACATCTATTGTGGCTTATCTTTAGGTTAAAGTTGTCCCTTCAGCCCAGCCTTTTTAACACAGTCTACTCTATCCTTAGGTAACACTTCCATGAAGGTGTAGGGTTTGAGTTGATAATAATGCATTGAGTGTTATCCACTAATAACGTGATCTGTGATCCTATCCAACCCTGGGCAGCTGCAACAGAATGTGTTCTACTGTCTCATCATCAGCCTGACAGAATCTGCAATTCACACTTTCTGTCAATCATTCCTATTCATATCTAGTAGATCTTTGGATCTCTTCATCGACGATTATTGTATAAAATTCAAATGTTTGAGACCCATTTTGTTTCCATAAGTAGTTTCGGTTCATCCATTCCGCTCAGTCCAATATTGTTCTTTTGCCTATGATAACAAAAGGTTCTGGGCCTGTGAACTTTTCTTTCCCCCTCCTCTGGCAAGTAGGTCTCACTTTTTTATTCTCTTCAATACCAGTATGTCCAGTCAACCAGTTGGTGGAGTCAACATCGCTTATGTTACGATTAAGCATGCTTGTCAAAATCAAGTATTTTAATATCGTATCCTCACTTTCTTTTCGATGTACATATGGACCTACTTAAAAACGACAGCTAAACCTAAAAACAAGCAGTAACGACTCTGTCACTCTAAAAATCATTGGATAGGAAGAGTATTCGTGTTCTTTTCAACAAAACGCAGTTATTAGCTTAGCGTCAGTTGGATTTTAACGATTTGTCAAAATTCTTAAAATGTTTTGCTTTTTTTTCAATATCTTCTCGTACCGCGTGTTGCCCATGCCTAATCTATAGTAATCTTTATATTTTCAAATATAACGAACATCTATGTACTCGTCAATATCCTTTGCATACATCTCAATAATGCAACCTTTTTTTAAATCGTCAAAAAACTGAGCTTAGGTACACCTACACCTCTTATTATCTGCGCTAGCTCCCAACTTTACCAGAAACTATGAGCTATGTAATGAGAGGGGAGTAAGTTGTTTGACAAAAAATAAAAATCAAAACAGTCTAAATGTATATATATATTTATTACAATAATTAAAAAACTATAAAACTATTGCATAATTTATTTTAAACATTAAGGTACCAAATTTTTCATATATATTATATAAATATTCATTCTGCGTGGCAGATATATCTACGTATATATACAATTTTATTAGCGTTTCATTGAATATATTTTTATTTAATTTGCTACATTTTTAACATTACGTAAAAGGTCCTGACCAGTTTCCAACAAATATATAAATCTATATTGAGTTGAAGTTACTTAACATACAGAGTGTTTCATGACGAGCTTACATTATCTATATAGTACTACTTACACAGAAACTACTTACACACGATATTTATGAAAATTGGTTATCAAGAAGTTGAGCTTATAGAAAATAGTTTGGCAGACATGTCACTTCCGGTTATACCGGAAGTAAATAGCAACTTTGTTATTTTAAATGGAACACCCTGTATGTTATTGCATTTTTAGATTCTTCGTAAGATTCTAGACAAAATTTGTATAAGGTAACATAGGTCAAAGCTTCATTCATTTTTGAGTTATTCCTTTTTTTTTCAAAAGGTTTGACAGATAGAGTTAATCTTTTCAAAGTTAATAGCTCATACATTTACACAATGTCTTGAAAGCTTTTGATCACAAAGAGTAATTAACGGTTTTTTAATATCTTACATCGAAATCGAATTTCAAACTACAGGGTGTTCACAATAAATGATGCGCCATTTTCTTAAACAGCAAACAATAGAAAGTCAATAAATTTAAATGAAACACCCTGTATTTTATACTTTTAATAAAAAAAAATTAAATTGTCTTTCAAATACTATTAGGGTTGATACCCAAAGTTAATACTTATGGAGATATAATAATTTATTGTGGTTTAATGTTAAAGGTAAGATATTTATTGTTTGTAAGGAATGTGACAGCTATTATTAGAACATATGCGATATTTTCTACAAGACATCCAACCCGTGACACCGTGAAGAGATTACTTAAAAACTTGAAGTAAGTTTGGTTGTTAAAAATTAACAAAGTGAAGCATGTTGTTGATAATAATGATCATACAATTATTAATGTTCTTGGTTACTATGTAGCTCATCCTGAAATTTCATTACGTCGTGATGAATGAGAGAGATTAAGTATACCAATGCCATCTATTTAGCGAACATAAATTACATCCATATCCAGACAGCCAGTTCAAAGTTGAAAGGAAACAGATTATAATAAAATTATAGATTTTGCAGATTTTTTAACGATACAATGTCAAGAAGATAATGAACCTTTGAAGAATATTTTACAAGAAGAATAGAATAGAGAATCAACATTTAACAAGAGTACGTGGTTTAATGGAGTCTTCTGTGCAATCACAGACAACAAGGTTGTAGCTCTCCACTTTTATGATGGTAACTTAGACGGTTATAAATTATATATAAATATATATATATATATATATATATATATATATATATATATATATATATATATATATATATATATATATATATATATATATGTATATATATACAGTCAAAATCGTTTATAACGAACTTCAGGGGACTGGTGGTTTTTGTATGTTATAGCCAGTGTTCTCTGTAAGTGGCTCTATCGGTTATAATGAACAGGTTGCTATAAACGATATTACACGGGGTATTAGTTCGTTATACCTAGGTTTATGACACAAAAATGTATTACTTTATTTATACATATAATATGTTATAACAACATATTATACGTAACATTTAACATATGTGTTTATTGTACTTACGTAAATCTAAATATGTACATACATATATTTATAATATGTATTCAAATAAGTTTAAGTAGTCAATAAAGTATACTCATAATATAACGGCTTCTCAAAATCTTTGTTTTATAAAAATGTAGGCATACATATACTATTTATTTTTAAAAAGACAAAGAAAAATACATACATCTATGTATTACAAAATATGTAAATATTTTGTCGCCTTCCTTGAACTTCTGAAAAAAACATTTTTTTAATTGATGTGGAAACAATCGATAATGATTCTTTCACACTCTGGGATGTTTCAGCAATCTGAATAAATGCGCTTATTGTGGAAAAAGCAGCATACGCTTCAGCAACAGTACGGATTTTGCCGAAATCTTCCAATTCTTTATCAGTACTTTGTCACTAGTTTGGTGACTCAGTACGATGTCAATATATGACAGTTCTTGGCTCGTACTTATTTCGTCATCCACTCGTACATAGTCATCTGCAGAGCAGTCAGAACTGAGAAAGGAAACGGCATCCTGCAAATGCGTTTGTGCAATATCGTTGTATGCCATTCCTGATGTCGTTAGTTAGGCCGGAAAAACGAAAACAATTGATGATCGTTTTCATCCACATAGATTCCC